GCGGTGGCTTTACTTACTACTCTGTATGTACCGCCCTAAGCCAGACCCTGTAGATGACGGGAGATGCCGGAACTTACCTCTGGTTATGATTTTGAATTATCACAACTCGTTGGTCCCCTCGATCGTTTTGACCCTTAGGATCATGGGAGGCAAGCTAGACAAACGTATGCACTTTTAGAGCCATCGACCGCAGAAAAGGCAATGCTGTCTCCGAATTTGGCTTTGCCAGAACTGACGACTCACTACCCATAACTATTCGTATCGAAATACCTTGGATCAGATCTACACCGAGGCGAGACCGCACGCCCCCTTCTTTCGCCATTAAAAATGGGGCTCTTCCTCCCTGCCACATTGGTGGCGTCGGGTGTTTTACGCGTGAGTCAGGCACTGCGGCCTACATCGGATCTCATGATTGTCTCGACCTGCCTCTTCCATGCACCTTCAGTGGGTTCTGAATCTCTGTGGACGACACGCCTCGTATAGTCAGTAGTTACTAGTTGCTGCCGTTGTTTCTTTGCGGTTGTTCCCTCCACAGTACTTTGGGCCTTTCTGCTATTACTCGATGATTCGCCTTTACGAGAGTGGATGCCGCCCAGTAACCCGCCCGGGATCCACGCAAGCCTCACCGACTGATCCTGTATGCCTGCCCTTATTGATGAAACACAAACCAGCGTTGTAGGTACATACACCCCTATTACGCTTCGTTTGTGGTTACCTTGTTAGGCCACTAACTTCTTGTTGCCTTTTCGATGCGTCTGCTCGAGGCCGTTATACATCGCAATGAGTGACTCAAACAACGTGTATAGATAGATGCTCTTGTACGTTTAGTACGTGGTTACTTTGTCCGGGCCACTGACTTCTTGTTACCTTTCTAACATCTCTTGTCCGATTTTTTAAGAAGGTGCGACCATATATTTCGACGTGCTCCCAACGCTGCACGGACGATATGTTCTAATATCCATGCATTTCTTTATGATTTACAGTAAGCTCTTCCCTTCTTTCTGTGTATCCTCTAAGGCTAAAGGTACACTTGCGCCCTCGCGAGCCAAAAAGTGCCACCATCTTCGCCAGATCGTTCACGAATCTCAGGCCAGTGACCTTACCCAACCTCACGTCGACGGATGTGGGACTCCCGACTTTAATTTCCACAAGGCAAATATCACCCGGCGACACATCTGGGCCAACTTGGAAAAACATAAGTACATCGGTCGAACTCCGTAAATATGGGACACATACCACGACGCATGATCTCAAAGGAGCTAGTAGTTGGAGCAAGAAATAATGTGGCGTTGAGCATGTCATATTTTGAGGGTGGCTATTGATACATCTTGAGATTATTTGTACAGACGTAGGATTTTACGAGAAGGGGATGATTAAAAATACACAACATGGGTATGGTAAAGATACACTGGCAGACTACTAACGGAGATGATACGAGGATTTTAATGAGATAGAACGAGTGTAGCAATCAAAGAGCGTGAGGAATGTCAAGAGGTCAATCATAGCAAAATCGGGACATAGTTCCAATCAATGAACGGAAAGGTTGAGAAGGGAGAGGGGGTGGCGGCGGAGCATAGAGGCATGGATATATAAACTCAAGCATCAAGCTGAGATGAGAATGGACATTCTAGGACATGATAAGCATCCGTCGTTGAACGACAAACCAAGAAGCTGGCTTACCATCTATAAACAATTGAAGCGGCAAATGCGCTTGACGTTGTCATGCGGCGGGAGGTCTTTTTCTAAGGCTGCGGGTTTAACCTATCATGACAATTCAATTGGTAAAAAGCAGGAAATTGTCTAGGCATTTGCCATACCTCATTCCTTGCCTCAACGTCCAGGGGTGGGGAAATGGGCAGAGGTGCGGCGGAAGCAAGAGCGGACACTGTAAACAGCGTCAGAGCGATGGTCAAGACTACTCGGATGATGATTTACTCACAGACCAAGGTCAACGATGATAGAATAAGTGTAAGACGCATCCGTGTAGTACCCCGAGGGGGAGGGGGTGGATTTTGTTAGATGCGCAGAACGCCAAGTAGTGGAGCGTAGGGAGTCAAGAGAAGTTGCATCGGAAAGGCTAGAAACCGATGTCCTTAATGTAGTCCACCACTGGCAGCAAGGAACAAAGGTACAAGGTATGGTCCAAATGAGGTATGTTCTCGGTGTTTAGGTGACGTTTCGGTAACTGTTCAGTAACGTTACACACCCCTTCAAATTTTGGGGGTGTCGGTGAATCTGTCATCAGCAGAAGTATTTTTGTCACTGTTATAAACTCAAGATGTACTTTGTATTTGGACGGCGGGATGAGTGCTTTTAATCAAGAACAAAGAGAATGCCTGATCGAGGTGATGGATCCTTCAACCCTTTCTTCTCGATCAAGACGTTCCTTTGTTCGGGCACGGAGGCAAAGTTGTTCGTGGTCGCAACGATGTGGGTTTGTTCGAATTGAAGGCGACAGCGTGTTAGATTGTGTTCTCCTTATGTTTTGTTGAAGAAAGTCATCTTAGATTGTGTTGGTGGCAACGTGGAACTGTTAAAGGAACGAGTGTGTCGTATTTGGCCCTACTTGGTCTTGCTATAACCGGAAGCCTTACCGATCGATCCCGGTGCCAACTTTTGCCGGGTTTGCGCGTCATCTAGGACGACGAAATTTCTCGGCATTCAAGTCGACGGCCATCGACAAGTTCAATGGACTCGGCTACTCCTATAATCTTCACTTTTTAATCACTATAACCCGGCCGTCGCCAGGGCTCTCTACATGCAGGCCCTTCATCGTTTTGCTTTCCGTGGACAACGTAGTAATTTTCACCGCTATCTCTCCAGTCAAGCCGCGAATAAACCACCACCAACGCGTCTGCGGAGATATGTGCGGCGGACTATATACACCGTAGCTGGCCTTGGGGCTCTCTGGACGGCGGATAGAGCTTTTAATGCATCCGCAGTGTTTCGAAATATCAGGACGTTGTGGACGGTGAGTCGGCCGAGTTCACCATATTGCTCTGAATTTGCTGACAGGTATAAAACTTTCAGTGCGCTGCTATAACCATAGACTATAAATTAAACTTTACTCCTGAAAAGAGTGAACATATTCCAGAGCTCCATGAGCGTGTCGCGGAGAGGATGTATAATCTGTTCACTTCAAATGGAGGTCTTTATATCAAGATTGGGTGCGTGGTCTACTCTCTCATTTTTGACCTCTACCAAACTCTCTTTGATAGCCAAGCAATTGGAGCCAATGCCGCGTTTCTTCCAAAACCCATGCAAGTAAAGTTTGCGAAGCTGTTTGACGATGCGCCCCAAATTCCGTACGCTGTGGTCGATAAGGTCTTCCGTGCTGAACTTGGTCGCCCACCATGTGGCCCTGACGGCGTGTTCGAAGTTTTCGAGGAGCAAGCTGTGGCTAGTGCAAGCATCGCGCAAGTCCACAGGGCAAAGCTATGGCCACAACCAGGAGACACTGAAGAGAAGTGGGTTGCCGTTAAGGTACAAAAGCCCGATGTGGCTACTCAGATGGAGTGGGACTTAGGCGCTTATCGTGTTGTCATGTGGATGTTCGAAAATTGGGCGTTCGATCTTCCAGTCTACTTTGTCGTCGGTGAGGTGGCAGACATTGCAGTCACAGTAGTTGCTCACTCGAGTCCAGATTTCATTTCCGATCATTTGCGAAAGGAACTCGACTTCGTCAACGAAGCTGACAATGCACGGAAAACGGCAGAGTTCGTGGCGAACGAGCCACGACTCGCGGAGAGCGTCTACATCCCGAAAGTCTACCCCGAATTCTCGACCAAGAAAGTTATGACCGCCGAGTGGATTGAGGGCGTGCGTCTCAGTGACCGTCCTGCGATTCGTGCCCTGATGGGGGAGCCCAACCCGCTTGATTCGCCAACTTCCCTGCCATCTTCCATGCCGACGAAACCGCTCAAAGGCGGAGTCAAGACCATTATGCGGGTTATGGTCGAACTATTCAGTGCACAGATGTTTGATTGGGGCTGGGTACATTGCGACCCCCATCCTGGAAACGTGATCATCCGTCCGCACCCATCAAAGCCGACCAAACCACAACTCGTGCTGATTGATCATGGGCTATACGTCGCTGTTGAGAAGGATTTCAAACGCCAGTGGGTCGAGCTGTGGAGGGGCATGTTGGCCGGCGACTTTGATTCCGTCGAGAAGGTCACTAGCCAATGGGGCATGGGTCTGCCGGACCTCGTTGCTAGCGCTACTTTGATGAAGCCGACGAAACTGAGGAGAGGGGACACTAGGAAGGGGGAAACACCTGAAGAGAGCAAAAGAAGACGAGAACGGGAGGCCGCCAAGCGGGAAGAGATGAAAAATATGACTCAGTATGAACTGAGCGTAATGATGAAGAAGAGGTTGAAGGAGTTCTTGACCGACACCGACAGGATGCCTAAAGCATTGATTTTCCTCACACGAAACATGCGGTCCGTCTATCCGTTTCTTCTCTAAGTATCAAGCGATGATACTGACATCTTTATACAGTATGGTTCAAGGTCAGCCGCAGTAAACTTCTCATTGCGTCCACTCACTGACTCTACTATATTTTAGGAAATAACCAGTCTTTTGGATCTCCAGTCAATCGCATCAAGATCACCGGTTACTGGGCTTCACGCTCTCTGACCCAAGCTCCCCAGCTCTCTCTTGCTCGACGATTACGGGAGTACTGGCACCACCTGATCTTCAGGAGCATCATGTTCTCCCTCGACCTCGTCTTCTGGCAGAATAAGATCTCTTTGTGGGTCCGGAGGCATTTGGGGTTGCGTGCAGGCGAGGGCTTTGAGGACGAGATGGAGCGGACGATGCGGGGTTTTGCTAAGTCAAACTTGGGTGTAGATGTGGCGCCCGCGGCCTTCCAGGGTTGACTTTCATAAGCAAAACTTTCAATTACCATTGAGTGTTAGTCTGCGGAGAAATACGCGCTCGTAAAGACAACTTTTCGTCGGCCTCGGAAGTGCGGCTGTCATGTAATAGACGCAAAAGTATACACCGAAGGGGAGTCGAACCCCTGCCGCTTGCTACACAACTAAAGTGGAAGGCAAGCATGATAACCGCTTCACCATCGGTGTGGAAAGCTTTCTCCAAGAATCCATTGAAGGCTGCGGCAGGCCGTTGTCGCAACTACGTTGCCCGGCCTTGTGGGAGGTCCTTACTGGTTGAAAATCACACCCAAATGGAAACAACTCAGCTAAATACCTGTACAAAGATTAGAAAACATGACATCTCCTCTTTCTATGGCGGGAGCATTCCATCGGTAAGAAAAAATACACCGAAGGGGAATCGAACCCCTACCACTCGCTACGAAATAACGACAAGCATGATCACTGTTTCACCATCGTTCTTACCTTTACTATATGCATATCGTGCGGGGTGATGGCCTCGCTCTTCACTGCCTGCATTCCCCACTTTGTTACCAACCATCATCATCATGACCTCATGCCATGCCTTTGTTCGACGCTGGTCAAGCCACAAACTTGGAGAGAGAATGGTCATCAAGGAGTCGATCTGTTGTGTCGTTGCGTCAACGGCTGCGGAAAATTTCCAACTGATGGGCCCACTTCGTATTTAACCAGTATTCATCTTATGGAACGCTGTTCTGCATCTCTGAGCCCTTGATGATTTCTGGTTGCATGTTTACGGTATCTGTAACCTAGATCTTATGTGGCACGAACTTAAACGGCACCGTCCCCGATCTCTGATGCTAGAACGGTCCCACCTTCGACAAGAAATCAATGGCCGGGTACCAGATTCCGAACCTTGGAAAGAGGGTTGGGTTAAAAGAAGATCTCATCATGATCGTCACCTGTGTCGAGGTCTGACATACACGGCGGCCGAGCGCTTGACGATCTTTGTGAAGTATCATTAGGGCTAATAGTAGACTTCCCTTCTCGTCATTGCTCCCCTTGATGTACTTCTGCCTCTAATAAGGCTGAGGTTTGCATCAAGGTGGGGGTGTTCCCACTCTCTCATCATGGCCCTCGATTCCACTTTTGGGGCTCTCCTCGTAGGCAGCATTTTTGCATTTATGTGAGTCGAGAGTTTATTCGCCGCCATATTCCTCTCAATGTCCAATAGACTTTATGGTGTCTCCTGTGTGCAAGCATTCATATATTACAAAAGATCTGCGACCGATTCTCCTCGATTTAGATTGCTGGTAAATCATTGCATAGTTTCTAAAGATGACTAGCAATTATTTAGAAACATTCGTTTAGATATGCTGCCTCTGGCATGTATTCCTCAACGGTGGACCTCAGACCTGAATTGACCGTGCACACGATTAGGGTTGCCGACACGATTCATACGGCTCTGCTGGGACATGCAATCTACTTTTATTTCGTTTTACAATGGGGCGACACAGCATCAGTAGCATCCGCTGTATGGTATGTGTTTCCGAAATGCGGTCAAGAGCATGCATATATTGATATGGCATGTCATGAAGGAGTATACTGGTGTGTACCGGAATTCAATCAGATCATGCATGACACTTATGGTCTCAACCATATATGAATAGGTACAAGTTTATCTCGTGGTATGCTGGTTTGCGACATTTCCCTGGTCCTTGCTTAAACCGACACCCATGCAGGGTATAAGCGACACAATTGTCAGGCTGTGCGTACCCTCCTCAACCTTTAATCCGTGCTTTATGAGGCTAATTTAGACTGTCGTTCAGCATATTTGCCAGGCGTGTGTGGATACGTGAGTTTTCGCCGCTTCTACAGCCCGCGCCATCGTTGAGCTCGTCTAGTTGCTGGCCGAAACGTCATCCTCACAACATGTATTGTGAGTTATCCAACAATCATCGTTCAAGTTCAATCCCGCTAACAGTGAGGATGATACCGACCTCAAATTAGGTTCTATGCTCCGTTTCGGCACTTGGTATTTAATAGACCTGTCTCTCGCATCGAGCTTAAAGGTTTACCTCGACCTCTAGTCGCGCTCTCTGGTGGGTCGGGGTCTTTTTTAAGACTCCTCGCTTTACTCATCTAGATCCTCAGGTTTTGCTACCAAAGCGTTTGTACCAGAGCCCATACCTCATTGAAGGACAACTAAAGTCACATACAGCTTTTCAACTAGAGCCTTTCTCGACATGCTACACTTCTATGTTAGCGGAGCCTTTTCCTTTACTTTCCACCGAGCAACAGTATTGACACGCCCTTGCAGTACTTCATATACACCGCGTTCGGTACTGGTGCTGTTGCCGACCTTCTCATCACTACGTCGCTCTGCGTGACTTTGTATAGGGGCCGTACAGGAATCCCGAGGTATAATCTATGTCATCTGGTAGATGCCAACGATTGACAGATCATCCAAACGCTAGGTCAGATTCCTTGTTGGGTATACTCACATTCTACACCCTCAATAGCAGTGAGTCGGGAATATTACTTGATATCCCTTTTCAATCCTTTGAGAGCTCGACGTTTAGGTGTCGTAACGACGTAAGTGGAGCGTTGCGAACCCTCTGGGATCGTCATTTTATCATTTTATCTCATTTTATACCAGATTGACCTCTCTGGCCGCGCTTTTGACCTCCTTCGTTTGGCCGCATAAACTGATTCACCTAGGGATCTTTTTCTCTCTGAGCAAAAGTAAAGTGTCATATCCCTCAATACACATGTTGAATACCTAACAACAATAGTGCATCTGAACACTCTGCTTGCAACCCTGAACGCAAGGCTCGTTCTGACCAAGAAGTACACCTCAATACCCATACCATCACAGCAATGGGCTTTGAACAACGAAAGGCAAGTCACCCCCTCTTTGTTTCTTTAGCAATGGACTTGACATGGTCAGTAGTAGTCAGGAACTTCGAAGGATGGGAAGTTGTTCCTAGAATATACGCAAGCAGGACAATTCGCCTCTCTGCCGTTCATCCTCGAGCTTTTGAGTCCTTATCAGACTTTCGTACCTGATAGATTTACTGCCACGGGCTACTAGAAATAATTCAAGCTGATCATAAACATAGACAGTTCATTTAGCTCTTCAATAAAACCCGACCCAAGTTTGCGAACCCCTGGAGGGCTTATCGGAGCGTGAATATGGCAGCGCAGCGCATGGGCCAGGATTCCATATACACACGGGCCCTGTCTGACGGCCGTAAAGTCAATTTTGGCCCGCAGGGCTACAGACCTCCAAAGGAGGTCGTCAGGATGGTGTGTGCAAATCCGAACTCCAAGTAATACGTGGACATGCGAGCCGCCTGGTCTATGCTCGCCAGCTAAAAGTTGGCAGAAGCCTCAAATCCTCACATCGCCATAATCTCGCGAGCTATGACACCCTGATGATATAATAACAGGAAGGCATACCATGTCAATCAGCGTCAGGCTTCCCTGTATCTTATCCCGAGTCTCATAGCCGAAGCATCAGGACAGGGGCAAGGCCATGTCGCGCCCCCTGTCATTGTGTCCACATGTAGGGTGTGGAATGAGTCCATACTTAAGCTATATTGTGTTGATAAATATTTCACGCTGGCAGGTTGCAACTTAGATTTAGTTGAATGTTGCGCGCTAGCAATAAACGTTGAACAAAGAGGCAAAGTCTGGTCCGAACGTCGGAGCCTCAAATTACGCGTCGGCCAGCACACGTGCTTCGCGTATTGTAACCCGTGATGGCAACGTGGGCTTATATTGCAGCAACGTTAGCGCCCGTTGTCTATTTGCAACACCCATATCGAATGGTCCCTGCTCCCATTTCTGCAAGGAATGCTCATCCGCACACCACCAAGCTGCTCTACACTCTTCTCTCCATCGCCTCCCAGCATGTCTCGCGTTTCGTCCGTGGCGCAGACGCCCATACTACTCGCGTCGTCCTTGCCAAGCGCGATGAGGGTTTTGATCCTCACAGCCTCAGAGATAGAGCTTTTGCGGCACTCATCCCCATTCTCGTTCTTCTTTCGGGACTCTTTGCCGGATTGACCCTGGGTTATATGAGCTTGGACGAAACCCAGCTCAGTGTTTTGAGCATCAGTGGCACACCGTATGTCTTTCTCACGCCATGATTCAATCGCAACGCCTAACGCCACTTGACAGTAAACAGCGTGAATACGCCAACAAGATCAAACCCATTCGCAAAAATGGGCATTTGCTCCTCGTCACTCTCCTTTTGGCGAACATGATCGTCAATGAGACTCTCCCTGTCATCGCAGAGCCAGTCTTGGGAGGAGGCCTCCTCGGCGTCATTGTCAGCACTGTCCTTATCATCATGTGAGTGCAGGGTTCAATTGCGAGGGAGGGCGACATGAGACGTCGTGTCGTTGCTTCGTGTGGTCATCTCTTTGGCTTTATGCATCCAGACGCGATACGAGACTAGGAGCGCACCAACGCCACGCGTCGCGGTGAAGCTATGTAGTGACGTCACGCGTCCAGCGCCGATCTACGCTTCAATTAAGCGCCATGACCATCATTTATGTTGACCCGAACCCTCTCTAGTTTTGCAGAAATCATCCCACAGTCCCTCTTCTCACGCCATGGCCTCTACCTGGGTGCAAAGATGGCGACACTAACGAGATGCCTCATCGTCCTTATGGTGCGTTCCCGTGTCAAACCTATAACCGTTTCTGACAACTTTACAGGCCGTTATTGCTTGGCCAGTCGCCAAACTCCTGGAGTGGGTGTTAGGGCCTCATCATGGAATTATTTACCGTCGTGCCGAACTCAAGGAACTGATCGCATTGCATTCTTCCAATTCGCCCCTCGGCGGCGATCTCAAGATCGACACTGTCACAATCATCGGAGCCACTCTCGATCTCCAGGAGAAGGTTGTCAAACAGGTGCGGATTTCTTTCGGGCCTTTGTCGACCTTGTGCTTATGCAGTTGAAGGCAATGACCCCCATCGAGGATGTGTTCATGTTATCAATCGAATCGAAGCTGGACTACGAGTTGCTCAAGAAGATCGTGCAGACTGGCCACAGCCGTGTGCCAGTTTACGAAGAGGTCGAGGTGCCCATTTCGACCTCAGGTGCCTTGTCAAAACGCACGCAGAAGATGAAGAAAATCCTTGGCATTCTCTTGGTCAAGCAATGCGTCATGTTGGATCCCAAAGGTCCGTCCATTCATATGTACTTTCTTGCTC